AAACAAACAAATAAGCCAATCAAAAAGTGGGAAGAGGACCTGAAAATACACTGTACCACACCAGCACGGCCAGGTTTGGTGAGCCTGAGGAGGGGCAGTGAAGGATTAAAGAAGACAGACAAGAGAATACAGTGGGGGCTAGGTCAGATCACTGTGCCTGGATGAGGAAACAGTGACCGAGCCTGCAAGCTGAAGCTTTATTTTATAGTCAGAGCACACAAAGCAAAACAAGAGAAGTGGTCAACATGTTTACAATGTTCTTGGGAGCTTCACCTCCCACAACCCATTAGCTACCTAAGAAGGAGCAAGGGAGGACTATAAGGTAAGGCTTAATTATGCTAGGAGGGCTCTGCCCTCTAAGCTGGGACTTGTTTGTGGCCCTGCCACAGGTCAGTCCGAGGTTTGGCCCTATAGCTGCTCCCTGCAATACACCTCTCCCAAGAAGACATACAAACAGCCAATAGATATATGAAAAGATATTCAACCTCACTGGCAATTAGGAAAATGCAAATCAAAACTATAATGAGATACCACCTACCACCTGTTAGAGTGGCCATTATTAACAAGACAAGCAATAACAAGTGTTGGAGAGGTTGTGGAAAAGGGGAGCCCTTATTCACTGCTAGTGGGAATGTAGACTGGTACAACCATTATGGAAAGCAGTCTGGTGATTCCTCAAAAAGTTAAGAATAGAGCTACCCTATGACCCCAACCCCACTCCTTGGTATACACCTGAATAACTCGAAATCATGTATTCACAAAGATATATGCACCCCTATGTTGATTACAGTATTTTTCACGGTGGCCAAGACATGGAAACAACCAGTGTCCTGTGATAGAGGACTGGATAAAGTAGATGTGGTACACATACACAATGGAATACTACATGGCCATAAGAAAGGATAAAATAGCGCCATTTGCAACAACATGGATGGACCTTGAGAACATTATGCTAAGTGAAATAAGTCAGTCAGAAAAAGCTAAGAACCATATGATTTCACTCATATGTGGGATATAAAACAGAAACTTGTGAACAGAACCAGCAGTGTGGTGATTGCTGGAGGGAAGGGTGTGGGGGGATAAGGGGATCCTAATATGAAGTGACAGGAGAAGATTTTACTTTGGGTGGTGGGCACACAGTGCAATATACAGATCTTATAACATAGAAACCCACATCTGAAACCTATATGTTCATGTTGACTAATGTCACCCCAATCCATTTAGTAATTAAATACTTAATTACATAATCTAATTTCCTGAGATTTTTTTATTTGCTTTATTTTTTAATTTCTCATGCTACAATGTGGAGAATGGACTATAAGGAAACAAGAGTAAAAACAATAAGACCAGTTATAAGGACTCTTGCTTATTCAGGTAAGAAATAATGGTAGCTTGAATGAGGATAGGGGCAGTGAAGATGTCCCTGATGAATTTTAACTCAAGAGAATGGAATAATTACCACTTAGTTCAGATAAATGAACCAGGAGACCAGAGAATGAAAAATATAAAATTTCCCCATTTCTGGACACACACATATAGCAGAAAGAAATAAAAAAGACTCCTAAAGAGAAGGCTGGAAGAATAGATGTCTTACTGTGAATTTCCAGGTTCAGTGGTTTCTAAGTAATGAACTTAGAGTAAACAAGAACACAGAATGATTTCTAATCAAACAGAAGCCAGGCTGGTATTCAAAATGTTATTTATGTTTTAAGAACATTTTTTTCCAAACATTTTGTTTGTTTGTCCTAAAGAAATCATTATCATAAAAAATCTGAGGTTCTGTCTGTAGTTAGCAATTGCATCTTTGAGTAGTCCATGCACGCCTGTGGGCTGTGGGGACACAGGTAGCCATTGATGGAGTCAATGAAACTGGGAAAGCAGAACAGCAGAGGTGGTTAATGACAGGCACCAACTTCATATTCCTGCACTGGCATTCAGAGGTCTTGATATTTCCATGTGTATTTGAATCCTCCTGCTTGTTTTAATTATGTTCATCCAATTCTAAGTGATGCATGATATCAAGCATGACCAGGAATGGAAATATTTCTCTGTGGAATTTTTAAAATCCTGATTGCTGTAAGGAAAAGACCTTTAAGGAAACACAAAATCTTTCCAAAACACAGAAGAGATTCCTGTAACTAAGACCATTCCCAAAATGGAACAGCATTGATGTTGTGGCCTGTTTGCTCCACTCCTATTAGTCAGGGTGATACACCCCCAAAAGGACAGAAATCTGGAAGAAAGGGAGAAAAGAGCACAGAAAATAGGACCTAGAAAGCAGCGAGTGAAAAGCAGAAGTATTTTTCATGTCTTGGTTTGTGAGAGGAAAGAGCTGTTTATTCAAAATGCTGCTTCGGGGGACAGGAAAACAGAGAGGAGAACACTGACCTAGTGACCTCCACCAATTGCTGGCTGTAGCTCAACCTCCCGGCCTCATCTGCAGGAAGCCAGCCATGCAGACTCCGAACTTCCAGTCCTAATCAGGAGGGGTGATGGGGCAGGCCTCGAGTGAGAAAGTCATGAGAATGCTATTAGCTAAATTCAAAGTTCAGGGCAATTCTTTCCAACCAGAGCATTCTGAGAGCAGCAAGCAGAAGCTCTGAGGCCAAGGGGCAATGGCTGCTGCTTCAAGGGTTGGGAGGCAGAAAACGTTGCTTCTCTCCCCTGGGGGATATGATGACAGTGGGTGGCCAGCTTTGGCTCAGAGTCCCGGCTTAACAGGAAATCCTCATTTCTTCTGGGTCACTGAGTCACTGTGTCTTGGAATTGTTAGCCAGATAGAAACCTTATACAGTCTCTGAGTCCATCCTTCACGGTCAGGTATGACCACCTTGACTAGTATGACATAGCAGAACCTGATGGCCTCTATGAGCTGTGCTATATCGCTCCCTGCTGACCAGGGAAATGGTGACACACACAAACAGTCCATTTTCTTAATATGATGAGATGTCAAGTCACTGTCAATAGGACAATGTTTCATTAGACTTTTCCTGTGGTTGAGACAGTTTTTCCCTTATCCCCTGGCATCCCCTTTATAATACTCGTGGTGACTTGACCATGAGAACCTGGCTGGGTTATGTGGTACAAATCATATCTGGGAACTGAGAACATAACTCATTTAACCATGCCTTTAGCTATAGCAAGAATCACAAATCATAAAAATTAAAAAAACACAACTTTAAAGGACATTAAACTCCAACACATCTTTAGTTCCCTCTACACCTTCCCTAACAATTGTCCATTCTCTAGGGTGACAGGCAGTCCTTTTCCTTTTGGGACATTTACTTCTGCTTAAAGATTCTCGATGTTCAGCTGAAAATGCAGTTGACTTTTAAATTCTATAGTGCAGAAACTATATCACTTTTCTTAGGGTCGTAGGTTACCACAGGCCTCAATTTTATTCAGGAGAATATTATGAGCAATCTCATCAAATGCCTTGTTAGAATCTAAAAACACTATATCATTCTCAGAGTCAGAATTCTATGAGCACTGCAACTGAAAGAAGTTTGTTCAACTTCGTAAGTATTTGGTGGATATACATGACTCGCAAGTCATTTTTTAAATAATGCACTATAAATCTTACCCAGAGTTGACATAAAGCTAACTTTCTATAGTCTCAGGATATTAGAGAATGATGAATGATTCCTAGCACATACCTCAAAATTATTATTTTATTGAGGACCCCACATTTTCCACCATTAAAGTCATTCTTTTGGTGTCATTTGTTGTAAATTCTCTGGAAAGCAATCTGGAGATATATAGCAAGAGTTCGCTGAATACTATTCTTGTACCAAGGACACAAAAACATGCATCTGAGTCTACCTTTTGGGGGCTCCAACTCATTTCAAGGAAAACCTGTGTCCTCTGAAGGTCACAAGGTACTTTTCTATATTTTTCAAATATTCTGCTTTTAATAAAAGGTTTTGTTATTTTTAAGTCACTTCATATGGTTACAATGCTTTAGGATTATATACAAATTGCTATATCAAAGGGTCAATAGCACCTGTTGTTAAAAAATGTATATGAAGAGCTACAAGTTGAAAGTGTTTGCTTCTGTGGAGTGCTTTGTTACAAGCTTATTGTAGCTTTCAAACAATGCATACAGTACATCTATGAACAATTAACTCAATGGCAAATTAAAATACCTGTTTTAAAAAATAAAACAGTATGCTCTGTCAAAATCATTTTTAAAAGTGAGGAAAGAAGGAATAAAGCCTCTTGGAAGAGAAAATGTCATTTGAGGAATCATTTCTCATTTTCCTGGGATGGAAATAGGAGCAGAGCCCCTGTGCCCTCAAAGACCTCAACAACCAGAGGAAGGTGAGACTAAGTATACAAAATAAACAAAGTATGAGTTAGAATATGACAGTATCATAAAGGACACATTTTTAATAGTGTATAGGGTTCAAAATAAAAAGAAAGAGCATACTGGAGGGAGTCAGAATTGTTATGGGAAATCACATTAGAAGTTGAAAGATACCTATGACTTTGGAAGGAGAAGTGGTGCAGAGTACCCCCCACTCTGGTCTAAAGGCACAACATGAGTAAAGGCATGGAGGCAAGCAGGAGGAAGCCCCTATGGAGAAGGAAGGATCTTGGTCGCTGGGTGGGAGCAGTGGGTCCCAAAAAAGCTGGGCTCACAAGGCACCACCTGGCTGGGTCTAGGAAATAATGGGAGACATTAAATATTTTTGAGGCAGAGAGTAGTGTAATCAGAGTTATGCTTTAGAGCAGTGGTTCTCAACCTTCCTAATGCCGCGACCCTTTAATACAGTTCCTCATGTTGTGGTGACCCCCAATTTCATTGTTACAAATTGAACATAATTAAAGCATAGTGATTAATCACAAAAACAATATGTAATTATATATGTGTTTTCCGGTGGTCTTAGGCGACCCCTGTGAAAGGGTCATTCGACGCCCAAAGGGGTCGCGACCCAAAGGTTGAGAACCGCTGCTTTAGAGAGATTCGTCTGGCAGTCTCTACAGAAAAAAATAAAAAGGAGACGTCAGAGGCTAACTGGAAGGGATCAAGTAAGAGGCAGAAAAGGCCTTGAACCTGCGGAGAGCAGTCTTCAGCTCCTCAATGGGAGGGGTGCCAAAGAATGTGCAGATATGCTTTGACACTGCCTCCACTTCTTTCTGTTTAGTTTCTCTTTTCTACAACTTTCTCTGTTTGATTTTTTGTTCATTTCCCCTCTTTTCTTTTTCTCCAGGGCAGAAGATTCTCTAAATTTCCATAAGCCAAACACGTTATCTAATCATTCCATGTAGATTTCTTTTGTTCCTATGATGAGCCAAATATTAGATATGGCCCTTCCCTCGAAAAGCCTAAGTGAGTTCCTAGGGCCCTGGTAGAGGTCTTCCCTCAGCAAGGAGGCAGTCTGATGTAAACTTCAGACATTAGTTCATTATTTCATAGAGCCCACTTTGAATAATACATTTTCCTGAATAGGAACAATGAGTTCATATGATTCCAGTGATTGTCTCCTAAAAACTTCAAGTTAAAAGGTTATGTTAAGTGGCTTTAAGGAAAAAAATAATAAAATCACAGAAAAGGCATTGGATCTCCCCATAACTATTGTTTGATTAAGGAAATTACAGTAAGGAAGGCTTCCTTCATAAAACACAAAATTATGAACTTCCTTAACTTTCACGAATATAAACTGAATAGCCTCACAGACTCCAGACATAATCTATCATCTGATCTCACATGACTCACTTCAGTTGACATTAGGATCCCTTACAAAATGAAGGATTGTTAAATACTAACATAGAAAGTGACATAAAAAGATGCGTGCTAAGAATTGATAAAGAAAATTCTTCTTAACTAAATAAATACAGGGAAATGCTTGTCTTCATGAGGTCAATCACAAACGTTATACTACAATTTAGCAAGAGCAGAAAGTGACTAGGGAAAGATTTACAGTTAATCTCAAAATGTCCTTCTAGCCCTAACAGTATTTGGATCTCCCAGTAGCTTAATGCTGAGCCTGCGATTATAGCCTGAGGAGCTTTTGTGTGGAATTAGGCACCAACTGAGCCCCTTTTAATTGGATCTTCACTCCTATTCTACATGTTTCCATGTGGAGGGACCTCCATCAAAGAAACACTCCTGCACCGTCCTTTTCTTAATTCTCCACAGGAAAGGGATGCATACTCATATGTGACAGACATTGGTCCACATTTCCCAACTAGGCAGAGTTCATTCACTGAAGACTATGCACAGAGGATTTCATCTCTTTTCCTCTTTTTGTTCCTCACTCACTTCTACCCTGAATGAAGTATCTGATTAGTGAATGTAGAAGAAACTTAGCAGTTCACCTCTGCCCCTGACCTGCTCTCTGCTAAGGGGAAGCAGTCTGCCCTATGTGGGAAGTCTATGGTGGTGGAACTGTGCCCATAGCCCTGTTAAAAAAAAAATACACCTAACTTCAGGGAAAGCTTTAGCAAACTCATCTGGCTACAGATCCAAGCCACCTTCTCCCAACAACTTAACCCCACAACAAAGGGGGATTATTTTCTACACACCCGCCTAACTCCTGAGCCATCTTCCAATTGCTTCTAAAATTAGAAAAGAGAGAAATTCAAATTATTGACTCTTGAAAGTCCCAATGCACAGGTAGTACAAAACATTGTTCTTATATAATATTAATGGACAACTGTTGAGAAAGAAAGCAGCTCTTGCAGAGATAAGGATCCAAGAGTCTTCCTAGTAAAAGCTCACCAAGGATATCTTTGTTTTCTTTTTGTAATGTAAATTCAGATCAATAACTCATTGACAATCGACTGTATACAACATTCTGTGTATACCTTGGAGCTGTGTGTGGTGAAGAGGAGAGGATTATATAGAGACTAGAGGCCTGGTGCACAACATTCGTGCACGGGGGTGGGGGGTGTCCCTCAGTCCAGTCTGCACCCTCTCCAATCTGGAACCCCTCGAGGGATGTTTCACTGGGATCAGGCCTAAACGGGTCGGACATCCTCCCTCTCACAATCCAGGACTGCTGGCTTTCAACCGCTCGCCTGCCTGCCTGCCTGATTGCCCCTAACCACTTCTGCCTGCCAGCCTGATCA